AATGAGTTTCTGGAAGCTGGGCACCGTCACAAGCAATCAGAAGCCTCATTGGCTAAGTGGTATAGCGTCTCACTAGTAATGAGAAGATCGCCTGTTCGATTCAGGCATGAGGCAAGCTTGTTCCTTTTTTGCGCATTCATTATAAACGTATGAGCTGGGAACCATTCTCCTGATCAATATCCTCTAATCCGACGGCACGAAGCTGAGAATCTCCCGAACAACAACTCTGGGGCCTTTTTGATCCATTAACCCTAACGCGATATACTTCCCTAGCGGTGGTGAGACTGCAACTCTAGCCACCATCTCCTCCGGAAATTTCATGCATCCTACCTCGCTCATGCTCCGAGCTCGCCATAGCGTGACTCCTCCTCGGCTGTCGATTGTCGCGATGGTTGCTCCAGACGCAGAGTATGAAGCCGCAGAGGTGGGCACGGAGTGATAGTATTGACGGCGCCAGCATTGGGCGTTGTCCCGCCAAAGATAGATGTAATCCGAGTCACAATGGGCATAATCGGCCCCGTCCGGAGAGACAGCAGTGACAGGCCCAAAGACCGGGTACTTGATCATCTCTTCTCCCCGAGTATAGCCCGTCCCGGTGATGGCGGGTTCCAGCGGTATGATATGCACAGCTCTGTCGAGTGCCAGCACAATGTTCTTATCGTCCGTGGTGAAAGCCATAGATCGGACGGTGAAGTTGCCTGTCCGCCAAGTACCGGCTGTTGGCAAAGCAGATCCCTTCAGTCTCCATATAACGAAGTTGCCGGTATGTGCAGTTGCCACACAATGGCCGTCATGTGAGTACAAGACAAAGCAATCACCGGCCGGCATCTTGCCAAATGGCCCCCTCTCTTCAAGCAGCTTCAACTTCTTCGCATCGAATCGACTAAGTCGACCACTATCCTCCAACACCATGATGAATTTATCGTCGGGGGATATTGCTGCGCTCGCAAATGTTCGATCCGAAGCTTCGTAGCTTTTGATTACGCTTCCGCTGTTGGACTCGATCAAGTACAGTTTCTCGGGAGAAACTACGAGAAGACGCTCTCCGTCACGGGAGAAAGTAACCGACGGCGCTTCTAGTCCACGGCAGCGGATTTGACTGGATATCCGTGAGTAGGACGTTGAGTAATGATTGATCATGCGAGACCAAATGTGGTCGAGGGACTGTTCGGCATCGGGACGGAGCTTCGGATGAGAGCACATGAGGTCTTGAACTAGGGAGACACATGGGGACGATACCCCTTGGCCTTGGAGCCTCTCGTTGGGGAATGATCGACCATCATTGGAGTATTCGCGAAGTGCTTCGAGGTCCTCGCCGAAAGAGTGTGCGCATGTTAGCATGAAGTGGAGTGTTTCCCCGGCCGCCCACATGTCACCCTTTTGAGCTACGATGTCGGGCGCAAGATCATCAGTTATACCAGAAAGACCGACGATCTCGGGTGCCATAAAGCCTATTGTGTCGCCGGCTGCCAATGACATGCTGATGGTACGTTTGGGTCGCTTGCTAATTCCAAAGTCGCCAATCTTTATCCACCACTCGTTCCCAGGAGGTTGAGTTCGGATGAGAAGATTCTAGAACTAGTCAACTTACTGAATACGAGGAGAAGACTGTGTCAGGCTTACCGATGGTTTCAGCCCGCGATGCGCTAGATTATGTTGATGTATATATGCTAGCCCGCGGAACACCTGTCGAATGACGAGCCTCGCCTGGGCTTCCGGTATGGGCCCTTGATCCATTAGATGCGAATGCAGATTTCCATGCGGAAGGAACTCCATGGCCACAAACACCTTGGACGGCGTCTGGTACCAACCCAGTGTCTTTACAAAGTATGCCTCGTACTGAATTGTAGGCGGTCAGCTTTGCTGCAATAGACATGGAATAGTGATTACCTGGGGCTGAGAAAGGATGGTGAGTCCCTTCAGCTCATTCATGATGTCCACATCAATGTCCTTCTTGGTCCTTGGTCGCGGGATTTCCTTGACTGCTCTCAATTGGCCGAAGGACGGTCCCACAATGCACTTCTCTCGGAAAACCAAGCCAACACCGCCGCTTCCCAGATACGATTCACTCTTCCAGTGCTCTTCCTTCCCCGGTCCATTGTCGGCGCCAGCATGGATAACGGTCTCGTCAGGCCCGATCCTCACGGCTAGCTCGGCACTCTGGACGAGCTGCACAGTGTCGTCGTCGATCATCGCGTTCATATTGCCGTTGCGCGCTGAGGCTGTCGAGCGATACAGATAGGAACATCAAGGCGCCTTTCAAGACGGAGACATTGAACACATGATGCCGCCGTTTGTGGTTCCAGCCGCTTGGGAAACGTGTGAAGGAAAGAGATCGAAAAGAGCGAGGAGCGCGTGAGAAAGTCGGGCATTAGAGTTCATGACGTGTGGCAGTGAGAATGAGAGTTCTGCGGAATCGCACTGTCCATAAACGTAGCGACATGAAAATGCGGTGTTGTGAGGATATCAGGTGACAGTGTGCATTTGCCTTGGTGCTCGGACAGACACACTCGCAAGGATATTTCAGTTGAAGCCTCAACAACGAGAAGGCAGTTGTTGCAAGTTTGTCATCATTCGCGAGCTTATGTCCCCCTCTGAAACTTTTCTATTTTTGTAGATCGAAACTCATGATCATCGGTAGCACACCCTTTCGGCGACGAGATCTGGTGTTGGTGGTGATGGGCCTCACAATGCTGTTGTTATCTTCTTATCCGGAACGGATTGGAAATCAAGGCGGTAAAATGGAAATTGCCCGATATACCGCTGTACACAGTGAGAAAACAACAATTAGAGTACATTGGCAGACCACAAGGTGGCAGCTACATGGATCGTGAACCATTGCGTCGCTGCCTGCTGCCACCGGTGATGTCTGCGGCGCAGAATGTGGACCCGACCGAACCAACAAAAACATACCACGCGCTGTTTTGTTTTTCATGACGGTGAGGTCTCCCTTTCTCTTCCTTTCTGTCTCTCCCTCTCTATCTTCCTCTCTATCTTCCTCATATATTTGGTATTCAGCCGGTCGCCATCAGTCTATTTCCATGATGTCAAACTTGCACCCACTCCCAAATGAGATACATCGCCTCATCTTCTCATGGCTACCTCAGCGAGATCTCTTGACGTGCCGTCAGCTCAACAAGAAAATCGGAGACATCGCGACAACCTTCGCATTTCGCCATGTTGCACTCAAGGCGTGCCGCGATTGCACAGTGTTTGCGAAGATTGCTAGATCGACACATCTGCGTACAGTGGTCCGAGAGCTCACTCTTGACTCCTGGGTTGGGCCGTCGTTCAAATACAACATCAACGAAGAATTCCCGATGCCCCAAGAGTTTCTTGCCGCCCTATCATTTGTCGGAATGCTTGCAAATGTCAAGACGGTCAATATCCGTTTTAACGAAAATGTCGGCAATGGCGACTCACCTTTCTACGGAATTGAAGAGACTTGCGACTTTCGTTTTTGAGCTCTTGACACTGTCATGCGGTGCCTCGCAGGCACGTGGGATGCGAACCGTCAAGAACGTAGGATGAACAGGGTGCACTCAAGGATGCACGAAGACCAATCATCTGAATGGGAGACATCTCTAGGTCTTAAGTTAAGCGACGAAGATGAGCAGCTCCTTCAGCCGATTCACGTTAACACGATCACCGTGTCTAACCTCCAAGACTTTAATGACAAACGACTGACGGAGTCTGCTGCATTCAAGTCAGTTATTTCGTCCCCAGACCTACGGGACCTGAAACTGTTCATCGCCCACGAGAATGAAGAAGCCTCCCCAGAGAACAACATTTACTTTCCTGAGAGATACGACATTGACTGCCTTCCACGCACGTGGCTTTCCCCGGAACTATCAAAATATCTCAGGACTCTTTCTCTCTACTGCAAGGATTATTGGGGCTGGTGCCCTCGGCTAGACCTTCGAGCCGTGAACCCCGGATCTGGGCCTGATTCTGGATTTCCTGCTCTAAGGGTCCTAGCACTCGGAAACTATGTTCTCAGCCACGAATGGCAGATCGATTGGATTGCTTCTCTTGGCCGACAGAACGATAGCGGAGGGCTTGAGGAGCTATATCTCGATGACTGCATCATACTGTTTCAAGCTGATATTGCTGCGCCACTCGAGACAGGTACGACAGTCATTGGCACAGACAGCGATGGCAACTCGATGGAGATTTCCAACGACAACTACCCAAGCAAGGAATGGTTTGTAAACAAGGGCGCTGGAGCCTGGAACGATATTACTGTTCAATTCGACGTTCGATGGCATGCTGTGTTCTCACGTTGGAAGGACACCATACAAGGCCTGAAGATTCTCAAAGTGGGTTCAGGTTCATGGAACGGAGAGCATAACGACGCCATTTACAACGCGGAATTTTGGCACCAGAACACGAGCAATAACGCGAGCGAAGTGGATACTGCCTTGTCGAAGTACAGGAGGGAGCGTTCCAAGTTCAGACAAGAACTTCAAGACCAGGTCTTTCTGAACTTCGCCTCTCCGGGACCGCACCAGAAGGTTGTTGTGACTCGTGAGCCACAAGTGAGGTACAAAAACGGTGTGGGACTTGATCAAGTAGGACAGAAGTTCCTCCGATACTACAAGTATGACATGGGAATGGGCCCGACTCAGTGGTCGGAAGAAGACGAGGAGGGGGAGCAGCAGGAGGATGGGGGGCTTTGGGACATGGGAACAACTGAACAGGATTGGAATGCACTGCTGGAACTCCTTAACACTTTCGAAGCGAGGCGTCTCGGACTGCCTCTTCAAGAGTTGCACGGACGAGATTTGCAGTCCGCACTCAGAGAGAACGAAAGACTTCTCGTGCTGTAGTATTACTCAGTAGCTTTCTCAATCGAAACCAACCCCACCCTAGAAGGAAAAAAAAAATCACAATGTGCTCCACTTCTCAGGGAATCGGTCTTCACGATGCGTCTTGCGATTGGCGCCACCAACTAGAGTCCCGCAACCTCGCGCAGATTCCAATCAGCCACGATTCCAGTCGCCCAGATCGTCTAGTTGGTTAGGATGATACGTTGTGGTCTCCGTCACTCAGCGATACCGTGTTGACGGCGGTTCGAATCCGCCTCTGGGCAGCTCAAAGTCAGCTAATGGGCCTGGCATTTCTTTTTTTTCTTTTTCCACGCCCCGCATCACATATCTCACGTTTAAGAGATTAACGTTTTACTCTGAGATGAGAGTCAACCACCAGTCTATCTTCCAAACGATGGGAGGTTAGACAAGATCATTTCATCGCCTTATCTTCTGACGAAACCCTTCCCTGCAGGGTCAACATAAATCAGTAATGGGCTGATTTGTTTTCCCATCTTAAATCATTTGTAAGAAAGCGGTGACTGAGTAATTGCAACATTCAATTCACGCGGAGCGCAGGGGGTAAAGCCAATGCAACTTGCTCCTGGAGTACGAATTCGGGTGTTCGACTCTGCGACGGGTTGAAGTGTCGGAAATGTAAATCCGTTTCCTAATTGAAGATGGTGGCAATTAGTAGCGGCCACTTGACAATTACGGAAAGTCGTTGTAACGTTTAACTAAGCCTTGGCGGAAGCAAGCGGTGTCACTTGTCTGCGTGACACCGCTAGCATTTAAGCCCTACTTTAATTCCAGAATTTGCGTTGACTATCGCAGGTGCCCAGGCAGCAGCACTGCCCAAATGTCAGCACTTGACGATCCATTCATGTTGCTCTCGTTAAATCGCAAAAACAGCCTGATCATCAACTTTTGAGTATGCATGTGGGATGAACTTGACCCATCTACGGCCGCTTCCTTCTCGTGTTCGTCGACAAGCCTCTCACCAGTCTCAGAAGGGAGGAGCAATACCTGGCCTTAACGGATCCTCCTGTCTGATTGCATCTTAGTGTTGTCTAGTTCATGCATGCAGCTTGCAGGTCCCGTCAATTTCCTCGCTGATCAGGGCAGCTTGCTTCATAGCGCGTGGCGATACATAGTGAGCCCAGGTGCCGAGCAACTCAAGGGAGAAAATGCAGGTCCAGTCCGTCGCGTTCAGCTGCCCAACGGTGAATCCCACGGGTCACCGCTACCCCGCGATTCCGGCTGGGCGCTCTTCGGGCGCCGGCAGCACCCAGAGGAAAGCATCGGCTCGGCTCAGCCGGTCGCTAAACATAGCATTCTAGAAGAAACGCTAGGAAGAATCAATCGAAATACAGGCAGATCAGCGGAGGCGGCACAGTAAGGCGATGATGGTCGGAGGGATCGGGGCCCCGGAAGAAGATTAGTACGTGGAGTCGTGTTGTTACGGTTAATTGGCCCCGGCAGTTAGCGCTCGTATTAATCTCGGGGTCTCATCACGGTACGTCATGCGCCTGGAGTTGATGTCCACCTGCCCCAGAAATTGAATGCATGCGACCTTGAATACGAGAATCAGTCCTGGGTTGTCAGTTGTGTTGTCCTGGCATCACTAGCCACCATTCAACAAAACGGGCTTTGGTGGCTGGATAACCTGGCTTCTAGGCGATGCGCTGGACCCGGTTGAGCCACTTTCGCTGTCAGAATGAACTCAATACGTAATTAAGCGAGGTTCCTGGACACCCGGAGTAACTTCCAAGTTCCTGATCGCATAGTCGCCTACCCTCAAGGTCATGTCACTTTGGCATTGTTGTCATAATGGAATGACGGCACGAAGGAAGCGGTGACTGGGTGGCTAAGCGGCCGAATGCTCCACGGTTTCTCGGTTCCCAGAATGCGACCCGGAACACGATGGCAACGTCACTTTACGAATCGTTCGAGTCTCTCGGCAGAGCGTTCACGTTGTCAGGCACCTTCACGTGCAGTCCTCCAAAGGGCACACCCCTTGACATCCAGAGCAATACTTAAAGACCAGAGATTCCTCCCCAGAAGCAACTATTTGGATCATCACTCCAACAGGATAATCACTACCACCTTAATTACCAATCCACAACCTTATTACTACTTTTACTCAACTCTGTACAACCCCCAACCTCCCAAAATGCAGATCACCAACATCTTCCTCTCTGCCCTGGCTGCTGCCGCCGTCTCCGCTTCCCCCGTTGAGAAGCGTGACTCCAAGTCCATGATGGCCGCCGTTCCCGAGTGGACCATTGAGAAGTTCACTCGCTCTTGCAACGCCGAGGACACCTCTTGCAACTACAGCTTCTCCATCAACACCCACACGGCGGACGCCACTGCCTGCGCCTTCACCACCACCGGTTCTCCCGCCAGCAGAGCTGCCTCCAACGCCAAGTGCGGCGCCTACACCGTTACCTCTGGCTGGAGCGGCCAATTCGGCCCCGATGCCGGTTTCACCACCTTCTCGGTCACCGACCAGAAGCTCATCGTCTGGCCCGCCTACACCGACAAGCAGCTTGTCAACGGCCAGGCTGTCAACCCCGACCAGAGCTACGCTCCCCAGAACCTCCCTTAAATGAGTGAACTTGCTACGGTGGAGAAGGATCAGAGGAGGAAAAATACCATCTCGACAAGAGATTGAAAGTCATGAGATGATGCAAAGTACATATTAGTATAATGTAATGACAGAATGCACAAGAAGTTCTAAGATATCGACCTGGCTTTGTGATATCCCGATGCAGACGTCTTGCTGTTCCAATAAGGAACGTCGTCCATCAGATCAATCGTCCGAAATGTTAATCAAGCCTTGTCATCTGACAGACGGTCTCAGAGGAAACATAGATAAGGTTTTCCAGCTGATGTCAACTTGAAACTCGTTAATCTTGTTTTGCGGGGACAGCTCGCGCACTTAGTGCCCGACGTCCGCGACTGGTCGAGAGTTCACAAATTACAACGTCCCATGTATGAAACGGTCTGGCAGGTCGCAACAACTACAGAGGGACTTGCAGCCATCATTCTGTAATTTAATATGTACACTGGGTTGGAGTACCACGTGAGAGAAGTTGTACTACTTCTTCCATCACGGCATGGGAGGCTACCCTTATTGGACCACCGTTATTCGGAAACCTCACAAGGTCTACATGTAGGCCAAGGCGAAAGTCTATCATAGTATCCCTATGCTCTTCATACCAAGGATGTAGTAACTAGTCTGTCCAATGAGTTTGCGCCTGGTCAGAAAACAGAAACTCCCATACAAAAGTGGAAACTTGCTCGAGGCATAAGTCGGTCTAATGAAGTTGGCAAAGTTCGATCTGGCGAATTTGGGGAGTCTAACAACTCAATGCGGTTGTGAAAAACAGTCCACATAGAATAGAAGGCCGTCAAAATGTGAAGGAATGTGGTTGTATTATGTGTAGCCAAAACGCCGTGAAAATAAATCCCTAAAAGACGCCAAGATGCTGATCTAACCCTCTGATACAATGCAATCTCTACCATCATCTAACAAACTACCGCCTGTACCACAACTCCTGGATCATTTATATGCTTAGTTGGAAGGGCAGTAACCAATGGTGCAGGCGTCAGCCTTGCAGCATCCACGGAAGCCATTGCTGCAAGATTGGAAGAAGCCAGTTCCAGGGGCACACACAGTCGGGTCGGTGTTCTTGGGCTCAGCGTGCCACTCGTGGTTAGCCTCAGGCGTAGGAGTAGGCGAAGTCTTGGGAGCAATCGTAACGGTCTCGAAGCTCTTGACGTCCGGGCAGTAGCCAATGGTGCAGGCATCCTGCTCGCAACATCCGCGGAAGCCGTTGCTGCAGGACTGGAAGAAGCCAGTGCCAGGGGCGCAGACGGTCTCGTCCCGCTTTACGGTAGGCTCGCGGACCTTCAGGTCAGGGCAGTAGCCAATGGTGCAAGCATCGGCCTTGCAGCAACCGCGGAAACCGTTGGAGCAGGATTGGAAGAAACCAGTGCCTGGAGCGCAGACGGTTGGGTCCTGGCGTTTCTCAGTGGTGGAAGGGCAGTATCCAAGAGTGCAGGCATCGGACTGGCAGCATCCACGGAAGCCGTTGGCACAAGATTGGAAGAAGCCGGTGTTGGGAGGGCAGACAGTCTCATCGCGCTTTCCAAAGGCAGGGGGGCAGTAGCCCAAAGTGCAGGCGTCCTCCTTACAACAGCCTCTGAAGCCGTTTGAGCAAGACTGAAAGAAGCCAGTGCCAGGCCTGCAAACAGTCGGATCGGAGACGGTCTCGGGCTGCCAGTGAGCCTTGTGTTCGGGAACGGGGGTCGCCGTAATAATGGCAGTCTTGGATGAGGTGACGGTCACATCGGGACAGTACCCAATGGTGCAAGCGTCGGCTTTACAGCAGCCCCTGAAGCCATTGCTGCAGGATTGGAAGAAACCGCTGCCCGGAGCGCAGACGGTACGATCAGTGTTTGACTCGGTAGGAGATGCCGTAGTGATACCGACGATGCCGGCGAAGACGGTAAAGAAGATGGAAGAATGCATGGTGAGGATGATAGTATGGATAGTAGATCAAGCAGAGTTCGACTAGTTAAGTTTGTGAAGAGAATAATTGGATGTTTGTACGAGTTTCTTAAAGAGATAGATCCACAAAGGAAATAAGGAAGTCACAAAGGAGAAGAGAAAAGGAAAATTGGTGTGGTTGCTGAGTTGTCCTGAGTAGCTGAATTGATGATGAGAAGAGAAGATAGGATCATGATAGAGAAGACGCGCTCAATTTATAAACCTCATTCTGGAATGAGGACGTAGGATTCCATAATCGGGAACTATGCTCCGCATATTCCCAGATCCGACTACATGGAGGTAGGTCACACTGCGGACCGCAAGCAATGTTGAGGAGACAGCACACTTGTCTGTGGTGGGCTATGGCTGTGAGGCCTTGTATTCCAGGGCTGTGATCTAGTGTAAGCCAACATACTTCAAGGACCTGTGTTCGACCGCGGAAACTACATTTCCCCCGGCCGGGACTCATAATGCCGGCATCCTCCGTGGAGGCTGATGAACAACCGTACACATTGTGTGTCGGCAGTAGGCTAATAATGGGGTTGCTGCATGACCTGCATACTCTGTTGTCTCTCTCAGTCATTCCCTCCGAACTAGACGCGAAGGATCCAATGGGAAGCTTGGAAACTCGCCCAAAGCTGTATGCAAGGCGTTGCAGCTCTGATCAAACAAGCGTGATAAGCGTAGCTGGGCTGAGCTGCAGGTTCTGGCTGAGTTTCTGGGGCTGAG